CGGGCAACCCCCCTGAAAGTGGTCTGGAAAGTCCGACACATCGAGGCGTCAAAATACCCATAGAGTATCATGAGCGCTCTGAACCTTTCTAGGTGATCAGGGTCTGAGTTCCCATCGTACATCTCCAGCGTGGGAGCTTTGAAGTGTTGTGGAAGAGGCTCAGAGATGATGTTCGGGGTGAAGGCTTCCATCCTCCCCATCGGGTTGCTCTGACCGGCCGAGGCATCAGCTCGGCTCTCTCTAACTTGGCGGAGGTCATCCCTGACGGCCCCGAGATCAGCTTGTAGTTCCGCAATCCGAGGGTCGAGCGAAGCCTGTTCCCCGTCTTTGTCTTCATGGGCTTGGCGGGGTCAGCACGAACTCCGGAGTACTCCAAGGCAATACCGCGCGCCTCCCTTCTGGCGAGGCAATCATTCAGGATGTCGCGGAGATCTGAGACTAGCGGGGGAGAGGCGCGGCATCGGCCCTCGGCCCTTGAGTGGACGCTATGACGGCCAAGGTGCTCGCCTTCGTCCCGTGGGTTCTCCCTCCTACGGCGACGGTGTTGTTCCAAGGGCTGACGACTGTCTTCGGACTGCACTGGCTCTTCCTCCCTTTGGTTGGGAGGTCTCACGTTCCTCTATGGTGGGCTAGCGCACTGGCTACTATCGGACTCTACGGACTCCGCCCATTGGGGGTCAGCTAGGCCGAGGGCTAGAGGTTCGGCATGCTCGCGCCAGTTTTGTTTTGACGCCCCGGCGGGGCAGTCACCCCGAGGGGGACCTCCTGCCTGGGGTAGACTTGCTCCGCATGTTGCGTGAGGTGGTCCAGACGGTCGAGGACTGCCTGGAACTATTCATAAGTGACAAGGTTCTAGGGGTTCCTAGCTCTTCGTACCATGGTGTCCGAAGCTTAGGAGATCTTAAATTTGGAGTGTTTTAGGGGATCGTCTTAGCAACGCTTCCCACAGACAGCACCAATTGTTGGTACTCGGATTAGCCAAGGGCAACAAAGTAAATTCACTCCCGAGCTTCAAAGGAGGGTCGAAGGCTTTGAGGGTCCGGAGAGGATGTGTCGAGGCCGAGGTGGATCTCTCCCTCGAACACTGTAGAGGCCGAGGGCTAGTACTGAGGACGTTCGAGGAGACCGAGGTGCAGCGGCTCACTTGTGCATACGAGGGGCCTGGAAGAGCTCTTGGAAGTTGCTCTGCAACGAAGAGAGTGTCAGAGGCCTCGGGTGGTAACCCGAGGCAAGAACTCTGACGGTCAAGTTAGTGTCCGCACGAGGTAAGCAATAAGTCTGGAACCGAGGGGTCCAGACGAGGTCATCGATAGCACTAAGTCCTTAGTGGAGAGAATATGAGAGGTCTCAAAAGTTCTAGATCCTTTACCTTGTAGGAGGCGCCTTGCCTTTATAGTCGGAGCTGCTTGGGAGAGGTTGGGCTCAGATGGCCCAGATGCAAGCCGTACGAGGGCTCGCGAGATGTTCCAGCAGAGGACACGAAGTGCCCTGCGATTGGGCCCGCCCGGTTCATACCGAAGGGGTCCACGCATCCTTATAGCGACCCAATGCTGTCGTCCACCGTCTGACACGTGTCAGCCCCGTATTGGGGGAGCCAAATGCGCCTACATCACCACCTATCAAGCAGCAACCTGAATGACCCCCTCTAAAGATTTACATGGAAGGGAACCTCTCCCTTTCCTTCCTAACAATAAATGTTCCACCATGGTAGTCGCTCTTGAAAAACATCTTATACAAAGATATGCAATCTTAAAAAACTCAAGTCCAACTAAATGTGGGTGCAACTGTTGATACCATGTGGGGGACCTTGTTGGACAGTTTTGTATGCCCTTAGCTTCAATCAGAATGATGTACTTTATGAGTTTATTGTAAATGAATAAAAGTGCATATTTGATTCATGTTCCCTTGGTATATTTTTGTGTAATACCCTTAAACTGGACACTTAATGAGACTCGTG